TCACTTGGTAGCCCAGGCTGGCCTCGAACTCAGAGATCCGCCTGGCTCTGCCTCCCGAGTGCTGGGATTAAAGGCGTGCGCCACCACCGCCCGGCGGAATATTCTTTTAGTGGAACCTTTTACGTTCACTTTTTCTTACATATCTGAATTACCTGAAGCCTCTAACAGCAAATCCTGCCATTTACTAAAATTGCTTATGTTCTCGAGCCTCCCATAATTCTCCTGGATCCCAGGCCTTCTCCATTACAGAAAAATGTCAAACCATTTATCTCCCCCTCACTCCCCTATGACAGCACACACACTGTTCTCTCCCAGTCCTGGGTTTGTTGTTTTGAGACTGGGTCTCTACATAGGACTGGAACTCACCTGCCTCTGCCTCTCGAGCGCTCTAGTTTAGGGTGTGCGCCACCATGCCTGGCTCAGCTATGTGTTTATCTGTCTGGCTCCACCTTTGCTGTCAGAAGCTTCGGATTTTGTTCATTTGATTTTTATTTGGTTTGATTTCCTCTTTGAGGCAGGCCCCTTCCGTCACACCATTCCTTCTGTCTCGGTCTCTAAAATTCTGGGATTACAGACATGGCCGCCATGCCTGGCTTGAAGCTCTAGTACTTTTAAGGATTTGTTTAGCAGAGTGGTGGTGGTTCACGCCTTTAATCCCAGCACTCTGGGAGGCAGAGCCAGGCGGATTTCTGTGAGTTCAAGAACAGCCTGGTCTATAGAGCAAGATCCAGGACAGGCACCAAAACTACATGGAGAAACCCTGTCTCAAAAAAACAAGACTTGTTGTAGATGTAAACATTTTGTTAAATAAGAAACACAGAGCCAGCAGGCGGTGGTGGCGCACGCCTTTAATCCCAGCACTGGGGAGGCAGAGTCAGGCAGATCTCTGTGAGTTCAAGGCCAGCCTGGTCTACAAAGTGAGTTCCAGGAAAGGTGCAAAGCTACACAGAAAAACCCTGTCTCGGAAAAAAAAAATTCTACACAGAGCCAATGCAGAGATGAAAGCCCAAGAGGTCAGAGTAATAGCTAAGCGCTAAAACCCTTACCCTTCACTGCCGCTCCTGTCCTTCCCTCCGAAAGAGACCTCCTTCCTGTGTCTCTGTATTTTTATAGACTTCCTGTTCTGCCTTCTCAATGGTTGTAAACCCAACTACATGACCTCCATCTATCCAGACCTCCAGTTCTATGGTTGGTATTGAGATTAAAGGCGTGTGTCTCCATGCTGACTGTATCCTCGAACTCACAGAGATCCCCGCCTGTCTCTGCCTCCCAAGTGCTGGGATTAAAGGCGTGTGCCATCACCGACCAGCTTCTGCTATGGCTTGCTATTAGTTCTGACCCCCAAGGCAACTTTATTTATTAACATACAAATAAAATCACATTTCAGTACAAATAAAATATCACCATGACTTGTCTTTGTCCTACAATAAATATAAATTCATAAGATTGATGACTTTCAGACCTCAGAATAGTTTAGACCCGTGGTGGTTCTCAATCAACCTTCTAAGGCTTCAACCCTTTAATACGATTCCTCATGTTGTGATGACCCCCCCCAACCATAAAATTATTTGTGTTACTACTTCTAACTGCAGTTATGCTACGTTATAAGTTGTACTGTAAATATCTGATGTGTGACCCCCACAAAAAGGCCATTCACCTCACCCCTGGTTTAGAGAAGTGGCTCAGTGATTAAGTGCACACTTCTCTTTGGGGGGGCCAGAGTAATTGCTCGTGCCCACATCCATCAGCAGTTCATTGAGCGCTGCCCGGGACTCCAGTGCCAAGAGTCTGATGCCGCCTTCTGGGCTCTGCAAGCATGCACACGGACACATCCGTTTTGTTTAAAGCTCTTAACTAAATTCCTGCTCTAGGGCACCATCAAGCCTTACCTGTCTGAGGCATTTTAGATTTCTTTTGGAGGCTTGCCTCTTGGCTGTACACTAGCCACTCTGAAGCATTGTTTTCCCTTCAGATTTCCTTAATTGAAAGCAAAATGTGAAGCAGGGCGGTGGTGGTGCACACCTTTAATCACAGCCCTCGGGAGGCAGAGGAGGTGCGTCTCCAGGCCAGCCTGGGCTGCAGAGTGAGATCCAGGGCTACACAGAGAAACCCTGTATTAAAAAAAATCAAAAAAAGGGGCGGGGG